TTTTTTTTTGGCAGTGTTTCAATGGATTTGCTGGCCAGGTGTGCCAGCGGAGGGTGTAGGGAGAAGCGCGGCGCAGCACAAATGCTAAAAATACACGACGCTAATCAACAGCATTTCAAAATAGCCAATGGCTAATCTCCATAAGCGCAAAACCATTGTCGAAGATGATGCCATGAATAACAATTTGAAAAAGTAGAAATTAAAAAAATAAAAAATAAAATTAATTTAAATTAAAAATTTACGAGCAAAATAATTTAGAATTTTTAAATTATTTATTATTCCTATTATCGCGTGAAAAATTAGAAGCTTAAGTAATACTCTTCACCCCACAAGCGACAAGGGAACCATGCCGCATACACTACAATGGCCATATGCACTAAGAATAGCCCGACATACATACATATGTACATGCATACATTTCATTATATTTTGTATGATTGCTGCTGCTTTACTTGCTCCCATTAAAAATTTATGTTCGTTCCACAATATGAACGCATATTTCTATGCATGACTGTACCTACATACATATGTATGTATGCCTGTATGTATGCATGTAAAATCGTATATGCAGCTACCTAAATTTTGCGCACGAACCTGTGTGGTTCCCCTAGGCGGGCAGGTGGGCTACTTGACTGGCTACTACCACTGACTGCGCTGTACATATGTATATACAAATATGTATGTGTGCTAGTTGTATGCTCTAAGCTTAAATGCAATTAAGAGCAGAAATTAGAATTATCTACATATTTCCCATGCGCTAGTCGCTAGGCGGCATCTTTCGATATTCAACAACATTGTACAAAAATGTGCCACTGAGAAGTGTATATGTATATACATACTTATTTATACATACATATGTATACTCACACACACACGCTCCCCTTTTAAATGTTATATCCTGCTAATAATTCATGTTAATAACAATAAAGCGAAAAAAATTATGTGAATGCGAATGTGTTTGCGCCGAAAGTAGGTTTGTGTGTTTTTAAGTATTCTAGATGACAGAAAAAATTGTGTGTAGTCAGTCGTTTCATATTAAAATGTATGCTTTTAGACTGAATATGCGTTTTGCGCACGGCTCCCAAGTTAAGTGTACACACAAATCTACATAGTTGGCTGACCAACTTTATTATAAGCGATTCAAAATTTCTCCATATTTTGTGTGTGTTTTTTTCCGCCCGAAAATTGGATGTGCACCAGAATTAGATTTTTACTTTCGAGTGCTTTTGGCGTTGTGTGTGATTTTTTAAGCTTGTGTGCTTGTGTATGCGGTATGGTAATGTACATATGAGCGCTTTTGACTAAATGGTACGATGTTACTCATACGCCCTGCGCACCAACAGCCTACCCACAATAGCAATGCATGCGTACGCGTGTGTGTGTGTGTGTGTGTGTGTGTGTGTGTGGTTGCACGCTTACACGCTTTCTACTTAAGTTGCTGCATTATTTAAACCGAAAAAAATGCAATTGAGCAACATCTAAAAACACTCAAAATCCACAATTGAGACTTGCTCACTCGCCGTATGTTTACGGATTTCATTGTAATGCTTAGATTCCACTTTTGTTTTTAGCTATGCGCTTTTTTCTAGCTGTGTAAGAAATGCCAACTTATTTAACTTTAAAAATCTTAAATTTCGTATTTTTATTTTTGTATTTTTTTTATGAATTGCTCACTTTTTATTATGTTAATTAGTAGATATGTAGTAAAAATATTTCGTTTTTATATCATTTTTATGTACGTTTTTGTTTTTGTTTCGTTTTTTTGGGATTTACTATTTCAATAATAATAAAATATTTATTTTTATTTTTAAGTTTCAGTAAAATTGCATTAATATTGTTTCAAACTTTTACGACTAGTTCTAGTAAGATAATTAGTTAAATTTATCTCATTTCTGCTGTTTCGTTCAAATATTTCTGATACTACTTAATGTGAACACTGATTTTAGTTCGGGTCTCGTTCTTAATTTGTAATTTGAGTATTTCATATTTGATAGCCAAGCTAGAGCTATGAGTTTGTTTCGGTTTTGTTAGATTACGTCCGTCAACGTTTCGCATTTTCGTTCACTAATATTTGATTTGCTTATGTCTTATTAATTCAATCCTTACTTTTAACAGTCAACTTAGCTGACGACTCGACCTGTCCAGTTGATGAGGTAACACGAACCGTGAAAATGCCCGAATCCTCCTCATAAGTTGTTCCAATAAGTAGTACGGCACTATTTCCATCGAAGATCATCTGAAATTAAAGCAGAAAACGAAATTTTAGAAAAAAATACCAACTTTTCGTTGAAATAAGAACTGAATTTTAGAGTCGCTCTTTAAGATTTCTATTTTCGTCTAAGAAAAGATAAAATTGCAATTCTGGGCTTATAAGGTCTCTAAGCAAGAAAGCTGGATAATCTAGTTAGTAGCGGGTTCAAATCAGGACTGCCAGAGGGTCATTCTTTAGAGGAAATGAATGCTGGAAAATTGTTTTCGAGCCAGGTTTGGGTAATTTTAGCGTTAAGGCCCGGCGCAGAATCCTGCTGGAAACTCCACGACTGGTTTTGGAGCAGATAATGCTTAAATGGCTTTACAACAGCTTCCGTAGAACACTTTGGCCGATGTTTTGGCCTCTTTTTCGCAAAAATGCAAGTCAGTGACCCTATCGAAAGAAACCATGAGTGGAGCTGGCTGATGAACCATAGACCATTATAGTGAAAACGATATAGGTAGAGCCACAGAGACTCAATCTGGGGGCCATTTTAGGATTTTAGAGATTTTCGGGATTCTCGGGACTTATCGATATAATAATAGATATTTTTGTCGGTTTTGTTATGAATATTGTTATCGATTATTTATCGATTTTGTTATCAGTTTTTTTGATGAATTTTGTTATCAATTTGGTTATGGATATTGTTATCGATTTTGTTATCATTATTTTTATCGATTTTGTAATCAATTTTTGTTATCGATTATTTATCGATTTTGTTATCGATCTTTTTATCGATTTT